TGTTCACCTGAGTGTGTTTGCGTGTTCACCTGAGTGTGTTGGCGTGTTCACAAAAGTGTGTTCACCTGAGTGCGTTTGCGTGTTCACCTGAGTGTGTTGGCGTGTTCATCTGAGTGTGTTCACCTGTTCATCTGAGTGTGTTCACCTGAGTGTGTTGGTGTGTCCACCTGAGTGTGTTTGCGTGTCCACCTGAGTGTGTTGGCGTGTTCACCTGAGTGTGTTGGCGTGTTCACCTGAGTGTGTTGGCGTGTTCACCTGAGTGTGTTTGCGTGTTGAAGTCTTGTTGAAGTCACACACAATGTTCACCTGTGTGTGTTGGCGTGTTCACCTAAGTGTTTTTGCGTGTTCACCTGTGTGTGTTTGCGTGTTCACCTGTGTGTGTTTGCGTGTCCGCCTGAGTGTGTTGACGTGTTCACGTGTGTGTGTTGGCGTGTTCACCTGAGTGTGTTGGCGTGTTCACCTGTGTGTGTTGGCGTGTTCACCTGTGTGTGTTTGCATGTTCACCTGAGTGTGTTTGCGTGTCCGCCTGAGTGTGTTGACGTGTTCACCTGTGTGTGTTTGCTTGTTCACCTGAGTGTGTTTGCGTGTTCACCTGTGTGTGTTGGCGTGTTCACCTGAGTGTATTGGCGTCTTCAGCTGAGTGTGTTTGCGTGTTCACCTGTGTGTGTTTGCGTGTCCGCCTGAGTGTGTTGACGTGTTCACGTGTGTGTGTTGGCGTGTTCACCTGAGTGTGTTGGCGTGTTCACCTGTGTGTGTTGGCGTGTTCACCTGCGTGGGTTTGTTCACCTGTGTGTGTTTGCATGTTCACCTGAGTGTGTTTGCGTGTCCGCCTGAGTGTGTTGACGTGTTCACCTGTGTGTGTTTGCTTGTTCACCTGAGTGTGTTTGCGTGTTCACCTGTGTGTGTTGGCGTGTTCACCTGAGTGTATTGGCGTCTTCAGCTGAGTGTGTTTGCGTGTTCACCTGTGTGTGTTTGCGTGTCCGCCTGAGTGTGTTGACGTGTTCACGTGTGTGTGTTGGCGTGTTCACCTGAGTGTGTTGGCGTGTTCACCTGTGTGTGTTGGCGTGTTCACCTGTGTGTGTTTGCATGTTCACCTGAGTGTGTTTGCGTGTCCGCCTGAGTGTGTTGACGTGTTCACCTGTGTGTGTTTGCTTGTTCACCTGAGTGTGTTTGCGTGTTCACCTGTGTGTGTTGGCGTGTTCACCTGAGTGTATTGGCGTCTTCAGCTGAGTGTGTTTGCGTGTTCACCTGTGTGTGTTTGCGTGTTCACCTGAGTGTGTTTGCATGTGCACCTGAGTGTGTTGGAATGTTCAATGAGTGTGTTGGCGTGTTCACCTAAGTGTGTTGGTGTGTTCACCTGAGCGTGTTTGCGTGTTCAAGCGTGGCTTCGGCGGAGTTTGTCCTGTATCCCAGCTGCAGGAGTTCAGCAGCAGTGTGTCTGAGCGTGTCACACACCGAGATCAGCATCTCCACTGACGGATTGGCAGAACTCAACAAATGCTGACGAAACACAGCGGCCCTTCACACACACACACACACACACACACACACACACACACACAGATGCATCAGTGTTGCTGTAATTCAGCTCTGATTAATAAACACTGAGCATCCATGACTGCACCTGGTCTGCAGCGATGCGATGAAGAAGCGGAGGACTGAAGCTCGGTTCCCTCTCTGCTCTAGAACAGCTCTGATGGTTCTGCAGGCCTGTTCTGTGATCGCACACACCTGAACAACACACACCTAATATTTACTGTTAATATTTCTCTGAAAAATTATTCAAGAATATTTATTAATTGTGCAAAAAGTGTTTAGTGTGAGAACAAAATGTTTTCCATTTACATTAACTCTCCTTTTACATAACTCTTCTAGTAAATGTTTACACAAATGCTTTTTTCTTTTAATTTGATATTTTGAGCCTAAGGAATAAAGCAGCCAAAAACAAAAACAAATAAATTAAATAAATTTATTATTAATAAATAAATAAATATGCTATTTATTTATTAACTTACATGTCTGATATATGACAACATACACTTCTGTAAATCAATGCAAATTACCATACTTTCATTTAGTAATAAGTTATTTTAATTAATATTAATACATTGTTTAAAACTGAGTCACAAATGTCAGTTGTGATATTTGTGTATTTCATCTGATAAAACACACATCCAAAGTAAATAAATAAATAATAAATCATTTCCCCCCCTCATATTTAACATTTAAATATCACATTTATCACTCAGTTTAGGCAAGTCCAGGACTGGAATTAAGAACCCCTCACATACATATCCTTGAATATATATTTTATAAACATTAAATAAATGTTTATTGGAATGGTGGTCACACTTTAGTTTAGGGACCAATTTACTGGGCTCCGCCTCCAAATTTGCTGCTTATTAATAGTTAGTAAGGAAGATGTTAATTAAGGTATGGGGTGGATTAAGGGATGTAGAATATGGTCATGCAGAATATGTGCTTTATAAGCACTAATACACAGCCAATATGCTAGTAATATGCATGCTGATAAGCAACTGGTTAATAGTGAAAATTGATTCTTAAATAAAATAAATATAATATTTCGAATATAATGAATACAGACTTGATTATGTTCAATATTCAAGTATATACACGTTTTTCAGTGTTTGGTGCAGGTGTTTGTCTCAGTTAATGTTAATATCCCTAAACTCGTTTGGTGTGTATGACTGTCCTCAGTTGAGCGGCTTTCACTCATTCTGCACCTGATGATGCGTTTCCTGTTCTTCTTGTTCCACTACGGTCATTTGGAGCGTCTGAGCGAGTGAAAAGCAGAACTCCTCGTCTCCTCCGATCTCCTGCGCCTCCGTCAGCAGAGCGAGAGCCTCGCCGAAGCGCTGCTCCTGATTGGCCAGAACCGCCAGCAGGAGTAAACTCTTAGCCAATGACAGCTGGTCTCCAAGCTCCTGAAACATATTCATGACTCTAGTGATGCATTAGGAAAGAGATGTAAGTTCATTTAAATTTCCATTTTATTAGGCCTATTTATTTATATTTCAGTTGGTAGATCTCGTTGAGTTTCTCATTTGAAAAGTAAATCCCCACACAAAAAAGTGTGGGCACCCCTGTTCTAGAAAGAAGAGCTTTACAGAATCTGAATCACTGAATCTGTTCAGTAGCACATATCTGAAGACATTAACTCAGCAGACGACTGATTGAAATGACACGGTGAAATTTATACTGCAAAACATCTATTTCAGTATCTTCAAATTTCAAGTTTTACTGTGAAAATATCTCAATATCTTTACAACAATATATATACGAGAGGTAGTGACAGCTTTTTTTGTTATTTTATATTTTTTCTGCAAGATAAACTATAATGGTGAATGCTGTTTTCTATTGACTTTTCTATTTATCTGTGAATCCTGAAAAATAAAATATATGACCGTTTCCACAAAAATATTGTGCAGCGCAACTTTTTTCAACATTGATAATAATCAGAAATGTTTCTCGAGCAGCAAATCAGCATATTATACTGATTTCTGAAGATCATGTGACACTGAAGACTGGAGTAATGATGCTGAAAATACAGCTGCGCATCACAGAAATACATTACAGTTTAACAGATTTTGACATAGAAAACAGATATTTTAAATTGTAATATTTTAAAATGTTTTACTGTATTTTTGACCAAATAAATGCAGCCTTGCTGAGCAGAAGAGACTGTTTTTCAAAAACATGAAAAAATCTTACCAACCTGGTAGTGGTCTTAATTTACGTAATGATTTACTTTAAATCTAGCGCAATATTCTTTTTTTTTACAGTGTTAAATGAATTGATCTAAATCAGAAATATAACAAATTATGATTGCTCCAGGAATAACTGGCTTAAAACTACACAAAAAGTCTTATATTTACCATCCAATTTCAAGATGTCTGTTGTTTGAAATGTTTAAATATGAGTAATGAATGCTGATTGATTATTGTGTTAAACTAATCTAAATACATATGATTTCTAACTAAATTTCTAACAGCTATTTTTGAAGTTTATTAAATGAAAAATGGTTAGAAATTTTGAAAAATACAACAATCATTAAACCTTTTCAATCATGTGATTAAAGCTGAATTTCATTTCTTGCTTTCATTCATGGCATATGAGGTAAAAACGCTGAGTGTGTGGTGTGTGTGCGTGTGTGTGTGTGTGTGAGTGTGTGTGTGTGTGTGGTGTGTGTTTGCTCACCTGGGCTGTCAGGTGTGTGTGAGTCAGCAGGACTTTCGCAGGCTGGAACAGGTTCAGACTCAGACACACGTCGGCTTTGGCCAGCCACAGCTGATGAGGACTGAGAGCGGATGCTGTCCATCCACACGGATCTCCGTCAGCAGTCTGAGGAATCAGAGTTAGACTGACATTAAACATCATAATGCACTCAGCTCGGTTTGACATAAGAGATATATACAAATTTCAGAAAAAAATCATTGTTTTTTTTTTGTAAAGATAGGAAACTTTGCAAATGCTTTAAGACCCTCAAAAATTTACATTATTGTATTTTCAGATTTTTTACATTTTATTATTTTAAGAGATATAACTATTTTCAAAAAAATGTTCGTGTCCGAGTCATTTTTGACACAGGTATGTGCGGAGTATCATCAGGCTTAAACTCTTTTGTAAAATGATCTAGGAAGTTATATTAGTGTCAAAAAGCTTCTGTAAATTATATTTCCCCTTTTCTCCGTATCTCACATAGTTTCGGGACTGAATTTTGTCGATTAACATGAATGTGCCTATTGACTAGGGATGCACCGATACTGGTATCGGTATCGGGCCTGATACTGAGCTCTTGTACTCGTACTCGTTTAAATGCCCCGATACCAAACGCCGATACCACACAGCATGTATATTTATGTTGTTTTGTTAGAAATAAATATGTAGGTTTCAGAAATGTGGACTGTTTTTGAACACTCATTATTAGAGAGCTATACATTTATGTTTATATTAATTTAATATTAATTTTCATTCATTCCAATGGGGTTAAATGTTCATATACATTTCATACACTAACTTCTATCCATCCATCCATCCATCCGGTATCAATCACTGCGCCGTGAAAAATTTATCAATTTTTCAGTGAAACTTTAAGCAAGTAAAATGAATTCATTTTGTTTAAAAAATAAGTAATATTTATGTTGTTTTGTTAGAAATAAATATGTAGGTTTCAGAAATGTGGACTGTTTTTGAACACTCATTATTAGAGAGCTATACATTTATGTTTATATTAATTTAATATTAATTTTCATTCATTCCAATGGGGTTAAATGTTCATATACATTTCATACACTAACTTCTATCCATCCATCCATCCATCCATCCATCCATCCATCCATCCATCCATCTATTCCATCCATCCATCCATCCATCATCCATCCATCCATCCATCCAACCATCTATCATCTATCATCCATACATCCATCCAACCATCCATCTATCATCCATCCATCCATCTATCCATCCATCCATCC